ATTCTATAAAATGTATGAATTGCAGTAATATATGATTCAATATAGGTTAAACAAGGTAGGACATTCATCTTTAATGTGATATTTTTATTCTTTCATCTATATGCATAATTATCATTATCATTACAACATCTTTATCATTGTTTGATTACATGTGGTTTTCAATAATTATTTACTAGTCAATTACTCTCTACATGTCGGTGTAATTCGATTATAAATTACATGCTGCAACTAAAATAACACCACAAATCATCTTTAAGGAAAAACTCGTCAACCGACCATCGTGCGTGGGTATTATATTTTAACATACAACCCGTACTAATTTTAGTACTAACATTCAACCTTCCTTGCTTACATGTATATAATATATTTATCTTATATTAGATGTATCAATCTCCCTTTCATGCATGAAATATAATATAAATTATTGAAACCTATAAATATAGAAAAATCTATAAAATAATCAATAGCTTTAGAAAATCATAACTTTAATTTTAATCAGTGAAATCAATTCAATAATATTACAGTCAAAGTATCCATATACTCCATAGATATCATATATGAGAGTTTCACGATAAAAGTATAATAACATAAAATATATTTTTGTCGATTTAGAAGATATTTAATTCGTCAAATTCAAAATAATTGAAAATTAAAGTGAGACTTGGATTACTTACAATGATTTGAAGACTTTTTATAACAGATATGACAAAAGAAAATAACAAAAAATTAGCTTTTTCTCTCCCCCTCTCTTTCTCTTCCTCTTCATTCACCCTTTTCTTCCTGAGTAGGTCACAACCAAAATTCGGAGAAGTGGCGGTGTTGGAGTTTTAATGCTTATGGTTTATAATAAAAATATTAACTTCGACCCATCACTGCAGCGCTCCAACCTAGCGCACAAATGTAATATGTTGAATTCAAAATTACTATAGCACAGAAACTCAAATGTCATGGGGGCGATTTTCTGACGTCATTGTTCTCTTAATCCTATTGTTATAGTGCTCCAAAGCATAGCACCAAAGCACTCTAATTCAAATAGAAATTTAAATTTTCATTTTAAAATACTTTTTCATATTTTGGTTTGTTACATCACCACCAAAGAATCCTTGTCAGTCAACCGACACTGTAGAATCTTCATCTACCAATTGCAACTGTTAACATTTTCTTAGCTAGCAACTATTGTCAGAGCTCAACCTGACCATTACCATTGTTAACCTTCGCTCAACCATCATTATCAAACTTTCTCCGCCAGGCCACTATAACTGACCCTTTGCCTGACCACCGTCATCGAACATCTGTTTGACCTTTGCTACTAGACTTTTGCCACTCGAGCGTTGCCATCGAACCTCCTCCCAACTGCTGAACCTTCACTATGGTGGCATTGCTGGATCTCCACCTGTCCATTATTGTCGAACCTTTCACTGCCCGAGCACCACCGTCAGGCTTCCACCCAACCATTAGTCCTTCATTTGGCCACTGTCGTAGGACTCTGCTAGACCGTCATCATCGGACTCTCGTTGCTTTTCCAACTGCTATTGAGCCTTTTCTCGGCTATCGATGTTGGATCTTTACTTGACCATCACTGTTGAAATTTCGTAGCCTGATTGTCACCATCAAAGCTATGCTTGGCCACAACTACATGATATTTGCCTGACTACTGCTACCAAACCTTCGCTTGACCATCACCACCAGACTTTCATTGATCGATTGCCACATTCAAACCTTTTGCTGGTCGACTGCCATTGCTTGACCTCCTCCATTATACTACCATTATCTAACCCGTGGTCAATCAGTCTCAAACATCCATTTGTATTCTCCACTCTTTTTGCTAATTATTCAAACTCTTATAATTTTACTGTCTCCAAGTTAAGGGAAAGACTAATCTTTATAATTCACACATAAATAATAGAATTGTTTTAGTCGGGTAAGGCTGCGTGGTTTTTTCCCTTTTCGGATTTTTCATATTAAAGTTCTTTTATTTCTTTATTTGTGTGATAGATATTCGAGCAAAATTATGATACAAAACTCTCTCATTTTACAGCGAATAAGTCATAATTTTGATTATCACCTTCTATGATAAACAAATTTTGAACTAACTACATGAAAATATTTCATTAGGATTTGTAAAGCATATTTAACTTTTCTAAGCTTAATACAATTTGTAAATATATATATATATATATACAACCCGTATTAATTTTAGTACTAACAGTCAACCTTCCTTGCTTACATGTATATACTATATTTATCTTATATTAGATCGATGTATCAATCTCCCTTTCATGCATGAAATATAATATAAATGATTGAAAGCTATAAATATAGAAAAATCTATATAATAATCAATAGCTTTAGAAAATCATAACTTTAATTTTAATCGGTGAAATCAATTCAATAATATTACAGTTAAAATATCCATATACTCCGTAGCTATCATATATGAGAGTTTCACGATAAAAGTATAATAAAAGAAAATATATTTTTATTGATTTAGAAGATATTTAATTCGTCAAACTCAAAATCATTGAAAATTAAAATGTGACTTGGGTTACTTACAATGATTTGAAGACTTTTGATAAGAGATATGACAAAAGAAAATAACCAAAAATCAGCTTTTTCTCTCCCCCTCTCTCCTCTTCCTCGGCCTTCTCCATTTTCTTCCCGAGTAGGTCACGACCAAAATTCAGAGAAGTGGCAGTGCAGGAGTTTTCATGCTTATGGTTTATAATAAAGATATTATCTTCAACCCATCACTGCAGCACTCCAACCTAGCGCAAAAATGTCATATGCTGAATTCATAATTACTACAAAACAGATACTCAAATGTCATGGGGGCAAATTTTTGGCGTCGTTATGCTCTTAAGCCTGGAGCATAGCACCAAAGCACTCTAATTCAAATAGTAATTTAAATTTTCATTTTAAAATACTTTTCATATTTTGGTTTGTTACGCCACCATCAATGAATCCCTGTCAGTCGACCGACACTGTAGAATCTTCATCTACCAATTGCAGCTATTACCTTTTCTTAGCTAGAAACTATTGTCAGAGCTCAGCCTAACCATTACCACTATTAACCTTCGATCAGCCATCATTGTCAGACTTTCTCCGCCAAGCCACTATAACTGTCCCTTTGCCTGACCACCATCATCGAACGTCTGTTTGACCTTCGCTACTATACTTTTGCCACTTAGCGTTGCCATCGAACCTCCTCCCAACTGTCAAACCTTCACTGGGGTGGTGTCACTGGATCCCCACCTGACCATTATTGTCGAACCTTTCACTGCCCGAGCGCCATCGTCAGGCTTCCACCCAACTACTAGACCTTCGTTTGGCCATTGCCATAAGACTCTACTAGACCGTCATAATTGAAATCTCGTTTCTTTCTAACTGCTATTGAGTCTTTTATCGGCTATCGATATTGGATCTTTACTTGACCATCATCGTTGAAATTTCGTAGCCCGATTATCACCATTAGAGTTGTGCCCTGCCAAAACTACAAGATCTTTGCCTGACTGCTGCTACCAAACCTTCGCTTGACCATTGCCACCAGAGTTTCTTTGACCGATCACCACAGTAAAACCTTTTGCTGGCCGACTGCCATTGCTTGACCTCTTCCATTATACCACTATTATCGAAATCATGGTCAATCAGTCTCAAACATCCATTTATACTCTCTACTCTTTTTGCTAATTCTTCGAACTCTTATAATTTTACAATCTCCAAGTTAAGAGAAAGAGTAATCTTTATAATTCACACATAAATAATGGAATTATTTTAGTCGGGTAAGATGCGTGGTTTTTTCTCTTTTTGAGTTTTTCACATTTGTGTGATAGATATTCGAGCAAAATTATGATACAAAACTCTCTCACTTTATAGCTACAAAATTTTTTGACGCAAAAGTAAGCTTGAGCAAATAAGTCATAATTTTGATTATCACCTTCAATGATAAACAAATTATGAACTAACCACATGAAAATATTTCATTAGGATTTGTAAAGCATATTTAACTTTTCTAAGCTTAATACAATTTGTAAATCATATATACATAAGATGAATTTATTTGATTTAATCGTTTGATTCAGAGCAATAGAAAAATAAAATTTAATTTAAACCTATAAAACATTTTCAAAATATCTAGGAACTAATAGATTTTTTTGTTACATAATTAAAAAAAAAATCAAAGACGCCCTTTATCTCTGGAGGATAGGCGATCATTCTCCGCGCAAAACCCAAGTCACTGAACAATTATTACCTCCTCTGACCTGACGTAGAGGTACGTTCTGCCGCCAATAACATGTCGTCACGTGCTCTTACTCTTTACCGCGCGACCCGACGACTTGACCCGGAGCGGATCCCGGGAATGCTATGTTCGCGATTTTCTCGGTATTAATTTGCAAAAACGAGAAATACCGCTCTGTCAAAACCAAAACTATACAAATACCGAGTTGTACCTAGTTTTTCTACAACTCGGTACAACTCGGAATTTGCTCAGGATTTGCTCGGTATTGCTACAGATTTGCTCGGTATTGCTAGGTATTTGCTCGGTATTGCTAGAAAAAACTAGGTACAACTCGGTACAACTCAGTATTTGCTAAGGATTTGCTCGGTATTGCTAGAAAAAACTCGGTACAACTCGGTACAACTCAGTATTTGCTCAGAATTTGCTTGGTATTTCTAGGGATTTGCTCGGTATTGCTAGGCATTTGCTCGGTATTGCTAGAAAAAACTACGTACAACTCGGTATTTGCTAGGTATTTGAAATATATCGAAAAAGGTGATGTGATGTTGTTCGGCTTGTCAAGGATTTAAAAAAACGCACGCGCTAGAACCCAAAAAACAGCGGGTCGGATCGGCGACTTTTCTTCATACTACGTGTCGCTAAAATATTGATGACCGAACGTAGAGTAGCCTACGTTCACCGGACCAAATAAAAGTTCAAATAAGCCTTTTATCAAAGACGTAGGAACTAATAGATTTTTTTGTTACATAATTAAAAAAAAAAAAATCAAAGACGCTTTTATCTCCGGAGGATAGGCGATCATTCTCCGCTTCGCAAAACCCAAGTCACTCTCCACAGAGAGAAAATGGTGGACTTCGACGGGAGAGTCCTTGGCCGTATTATGGCAGCGGCGGCGGTCGCTTTCTTCTTCCGATTGATCACCGGCCCTGGACCAGCCCTGCTGCCGGATGAAGAGACGGAGGACTCCGGTGACGAGGAGGCCCAGTCAGATTCTGGCAAGGTCGTACCGGTGACAATCCGGTGGAGCGGCATCACTTGCTGCCTCTCAGACAAGCGCGGGAAGACAGTGAGCTCCCCCAGCTTTCATATCTCCTTTTGATCTAAACCCTTTGCCAAGCATTGCACACTGCGTGTCTCACCAGCAAGGCGCGTATGCTAGCTTGGGAAACCTTTGATTTGCCAACGTTTCCCGTTCTCTCGTTTTGTCATTCTTGTCATTCTCTCGAATCTTGGATGCTCAATTGCACACTTATCCATACATTAGAAGTTGGTTTATGCCTTTTCAGACACGATTTCTGCTTACAAATGTAAGTGGAGAGGCAAAACCCGGGAGATTACTTGCCATAATGGGGCCATCTGGTTCTGGAAAGACTACTTTACTCAATGTGCTTGCGGGGCAGCTAGCAGCGTCACCGAGATTACATCTTTCGGGCCATTTAGATATCAATGGAAAGTCTAGATTGACTGGCGGGTACAAGTAAGTTTCTTGTTCTGGCCGGTTGCACTGTTGAGAATTTGGTTGCTTTTCCTGTTATCAATAGAGTAAATTGTGTTGCAGGATTGCTTATGTGAGACAAGAGGATCTTTTCTTCTCACAACTGACGCCGAGAGAAACACTGTCTATTGCTGCGGAGCTCCAGCTGCCAGAGTTTGCGTCAGTTGAGAAGAGGGATAAATATGTGAATGAGCTCCTATTCAGGCTGGGCCTGGTAAGTTTGTTATTCTCGCTTGAAATTGGATCATGTTTAGTGATTCCTTCTTTTTAATTAATCTAATGTACTTCGAACAGAAACAACTATAATAAAATATTGGACCTATTATAAGAATCAACTTCAAGGTGGTGGATTATTTCCTGAGTATTCGTATTGGAGACTAAATCAAAAGTTTTTATTTTCACTTATAGTTACAGTATGCTAGTAACACGCTTGTACTGTGTTTGTTCTTTTATAAATTTCCCTACATATTTCATACGTAAGAAATAAATTTAAAACTACATAAGAATATGCTATTGCAAAATATTAAAATTTTAAAATAAACACACAAACGCACTATGTCGTGTACTTTTGATGTCATCGTAACGCTTATCATTTAAAGGCAGAGGGTATTCGATTCGTTAATGTTGAATAAGGATAACATTTCTTTCTTGCATGCACTAAAGTATTTTATTATGACATCATATTTGATCTAAAAATTATAATTTAGTAAAATAACTAATTGATATTTAAAAGTTACTATCGCCACTCTCTCTTTCTCTCTCTTTATATATATGTATATATAAAATACATTTTAGAACGTTGGTTAGTGAGATACTGAAATGAAGGAGGAAAATCTTATATATTAAAAAAATCCTTTCAATAGATGATATGACTTGAAAGATAAAAAGTAGCATGAGATTGTACGAGTCTCTCTTATTTTTTATTTTCAGTAAGCCATCCATCTTTCACCGCATTAATAAACATTTTTAATAAAATAACTCTCAAAATCTTAAGAGAACATCATTTCAAAATGAAACATTCTCCCTTTTATCCCGCTTCCATTTAGTATATATAGTATATATATTTTTTTAATGAGTCCCAGCTCTTACCTCTTTAATATTATATTTTAAAGCTAAGGAAACCTTTAAAAATTTTTATGAGGTTCATCTCAAAATGAAACATTCTTCTTACATCTTTTTGCCCCTCTCCCTTAGCATTTAGTACTGAAATAGATAGATAGCTACTCTTTTCTTCCACTAAAATGAGAAAAAATTTCAATTAATATGAGACACATTTTGAAATGAAGATCTTTTCTTATTTTAGAATTTAAAGATGATAAAAATTTTTCCTGTCCCCTTACATTTAAAATATGAATATGGATGGATATGGATATATAGGTGGGTAGAGATTAAATGTTAAAGAGAGAGGGAGATGAGGTAATGAATTATTCTCATAAAGTAGAAAGGTCTTTTAGTAAATGATTCGACTTGAAAGATGATGAGTAGGAAGGATTTTTAAGAGTCTCACTTTTTTTTTTCTTCAGTGAGCTATCCCATATCTCACTTCATTATAATATAATTTAAAATTATAAACTCTCAAAACTATGGAAAGCTTTGTTTCAAAATTAAATAATTTCCTCTATTGCTCTTAAAACTTTTATCTCCTTCTCCCTTATTTTCAATCATATAAATATATAGATGATTTGGTTTTTATCCAATAAGTGTTTTATACTGATCCATAGTTATACATGAATAAATTGTTTTGTAAATTTGTGATGTAAAAATTGTTTCATTATGGATCCAAACTATTTTTTTAACCTTCTCTAACAATGAAAAATAGTAATATATAAAAGATCTATTTCTTTTGGATTCGAGCTTTATAGATTGTAGATACAAATTTTACTAACTATTTCTTTTTTCTCTGGGCATTTTATATCCACAAAATAGATCAACTGTGCTGATTCTATTGTTGGAGATGCCAAGGTTCGTGGGATTAGTGGTGGTGAAAAGAAACGGCTATCACTAGCTTGTGAGTTGATAGCAAGCCCATCTGTTATTTTTGCAGATGAACCAACAACTGGTAAAAACTGTGAGCTTTGTTTGTGGATTAACTACTTTCTTTCTATAAACAACCTGCTATTACCTCATGACTACTTAAATTTGCATGGATTTTGAGAATCTTATTTAGACATTTAAATGTGACATAAAGACTCTTTATCAAAACTTATGTTTCTAATGACATGACTGATGATTAATTTTATTGGTTTTATTAATTGATGTAGTTATGGGATATTTAGTTTATTTTGATTAAATTGTTTTAGACTTTATCTTAATGAAAGACATTTATGTCAGCTAAGGGCCTTTTCCATAGAAGGAATCTTCGGACTTATTGATGATTATGGAAAGAGTATTAACTAGTTTTCTCTTTGGTTTCTTGCCCTTCATCCTTCTCTTGGTATTCTACCTCCTCTATCTCGCTCGGGGCTCTCTTTCTCTTCCTACCTCTTTTACATTCTTTTTCATCTCTTTCGCACTCTTTATACTTCCCTCATAGTTTCTCGCTCCTATCTCTTCCATCCTCTGTTTCTCTTAACTTCCTCTCTACTGCCCCTTCTATGTCACCTCTCTTTACTCTCTTGTTTCTCTCTCCCTCATTTACTTCTCTTTCTCTCCAACAATTGCTACAAATTCATAATGAAATCAATATTCATTGATCTCTTACCCACTATGCATCAATTGTGATATTCCATTCAAGGAATTTACTCATTTAGGAATGAAGAATCCTTAGCTCCCTCTTGATTCAACTTTATCATCTTCTTATTGTGTTTGACATTAGATAAAGAATTGGGTTCTGCAACCTCAGCACCATCACCAACATTACTACTAATTGTATGAACACGAATACTTCGCCACTACACCCTTATAACTATCATCACAACCCCATCTCGTGTCCGCCTGTACGTGTAGGACACCTAACACACCTAAATTATTAATTGATAATTGACAACAATATACCTTCCAGTTTTTCTTTGCACGCACAACTTGAATTTTCCTCAAATTTTTCCAACACTACGAATGTCCTGAATACACATCAACTACTGTTAAATGAAAAGTACACTAAAATTAGAATACAATAATAAATTTGTCACCTCCTCTAATTCTCTTCTTCCTCGTTTCTTCTTTCTTCTCTCTTGTTTATATTTTCCTACTTATTTCTCTATTCTCCAATCCCTAACTTCCCTACTATCACCCTTACTCCTACCCTACTCCAAATTTCCAACCAAATAGCCAAAACCACTTCTCCCTTATCTCCCTTATCTCTCTTCTTCATCTATCACTTCTCACTCTCTTCTCCCTTATTCCCTTACTCTTCTTCCTAACTTCTCCAAATTCTTTTTTTAATGCTTCTTCTCATTAGGAGGAACTACGAGAGGGAGAGTGTAGCAACTACGGAGCCACGATGAGGGAGGAACTACGAGCGGGACTCACTTTTTATAAGTTTATCTCTCCTGACAGCATGCCCCTAGAGTCTAGGCGTCAATCGGGCACTGTAAGTACTCTCTCTCTCTCTCTCTAGCTTTCACAATTAAAATGGCTGAGTGGTTGAGTGGGGACCGCACATTCAACCATTAGAAAAAAAATTTCCTCTACTGATTTGAAGAATTTTCATTAAAATAAATTTTTTCTTTGAAATAGTTCTCTAAAAAAATTAGGCTTTAGTTATATAAAATAAATGCTATTATTTTCTTGTTACTTTGATAAATTAAAAATAATATTTTTTCACATTTTTATCTTCTAACATTATTTCTGTTTTTATATTAATTTTTCCTTGAGATATTTTTTATGTCGTATTACTTTAAATTTTTTTCTTAAAATATAATTTTAAATTGTTTTTACAAACTTTTTTTATAGAGACCAATTATTATTAACTATTTTTATATATTAATACTAAGATAATTAAGTATGAGTAGTATTTTCAAAATAATCTAATTTAATTATACTTGATAACTATTTTATAAAATAATTCTTTAATAACTATTTTAATGCATAATAATCTGTTTATTAATAAGGCAGAATAATTTTTGCATATGAGATTTTTTAATATAATTTATGATTTTTATTTATTTTTGGAAATTTGAATTATATGTTAATGAAAAGAATACTGGGATTTGGAAAAGATAGAATTTTGAGTTGAACTATATTTCATGTTGTCTTATTATTGGGATATTTTGATTTCACTTCATATCTTATAATTTTTTATGTTTTATATTATTCACTCATTAGTATATAAAATTTTTATCATTTTCTGTTTACGCAATCTTTTGATTTTGAGGCTTATGCCTCAAAACGCCTTGAGGCTTACGCCTCGCCTCACGAATGAAAAACGCCTCAATACCCGAATACGCAATTTTAAACATTGATTCTACCTCCTCTATCTCGCTCGGGACTCTCTTTCTCTTCCTACCTCTTTTACATTCTTTTTCATCTCTTTCGCACTCTTTATACTTACCTCATAGTTTCTTGCTCCTATCTCTTCCATCCTTTGTTTCTCTTAACTTCCTCTCTACTGCCCCTTCTATGTCACCTCTCTTTACTCTCTTGTTTCTCTCTCCCTCATTTATTTCTCTTTCTCTCCAACAATTGCTACAAATTCATAAATAAATCAATATTCATTGATCTATTACCCACTATGCATCAATTTTGATATTCCATTCAAGGAATTTACTCAATTAGGAATGAAGAACCCTTAGCTACCTTTTGATTCAACTTTATCATCTTCTTTTTGTGTTTGACATTAGATGAAGAATTGGGTTCTACAACCTCAGCACCATCACCAATATTACTACTAATTGTATGAACACGAATACTTCGCCACTACACCCTTATAACTATCATCACAACCACATCTCGTGTCCGTCTGTATGTGTAGGACACCTAACACACCTAAATTATTAATTGATAATTCTCAACAATATACCTTCCAATTTTCCTTTGCATGCACAACTTGAATTTTTCTCAAATTTTCCCAACACTACGATGTCATGAATACACATCAACTACTCTTAAATGAAAAGTACACTAAAATTAGAATACAATAATAAATTTGTTACCTCTAATTCTCTTCTTCCTTGTTTCTTCTTTCTTCTCTCCTGTTTATATTTTCCTACTTATTTCTCTACTCTCCAATCCCTTAACTTCCCTACTATCACCCTTACTCCTCCCCTACTCCAAATTGCCAACCAAATAGCCAAAACCACTTCTCCCTTATCTCCCTTATCTCTCTTCTTCCTCTATCACTTCTCACTCTCTTCTCCCTTATTCCCTTACTCTTCTTCCTAACTTCTCCAAATTCTTTTTTTTTTTAATGCTTCTTCCCATTAGGAGGAACTACGAGAGGGAGACTAGTGTAGCAACTGCGAAGCCACGATGAGGAGGAACTACGAGCGGGACTCACATTTTATAAGTTTATCTCTCCTGACAGCATGCCCCTAGAGTCTAGGCGTCAATTGGGCATTGTAGGTACTCTCTCTCTCTAGCTTTCACAATTAAAATGGTTGATTGGTTGAGTGGGGACCGCACATTCAACCATTAGAAAAAAAATTTCCTCAGCTGATTTAAAGAATTTTCATTAAAATATTTTTTTTCTTTGAAATAGTTCTCTAAAAAAATTAGGCTTTACTTATATAAAATAAATGCTATTATTTTCTTGTTACTTTGATAAATTAAAAATAATATTTTTTCACATATTTATCTTCTAACATTATTTCTGCTTTTATATTAATTTTTCCTTGAGATATTTTTGATGTCATATTACTTTAAATTTTTTTCTTAAAATATATTTTTAAATTGTTTTTTACAAACTTTTTTTATAGAGACCAATTATTATTAACTATTTTTATATATTAATACTAAGGTAATTCAGTATGAGTAGTATTTTCAAAATAATCTAATTTAATTGTACTTTATAACTATTTTATAAAATAATTCTTTAATAACTATTTTTAATGCATAATAATCTGTTTATTAATAAGGCAGAATAATTTTTGCATATGAGATTATTTTTTATGAGAATTTGACTGTAGAAATGGTTTTTCTTTATTAGATTTAAATGAGAATTTGACTGTTTATAGGACACAATGAAGAACAAAGATTATTGTAGCTAACCCCCGTAGTGGGATAAAGGCTTGATATTTTTGTTATGATGTTGTTGTATTGACAAATGCAAAATTGAAGCTCACTTCTAACATTTTTTAAGGTGATTTTCAAGATTAAAGCTCATTTGTTCAGTTTCGTATGCATCATTGAAACAAACTGGCCCTCAGAGCATCTGACTTCTGCATTATGATTATTGTACTTAAATTCCATTCTTTTGACTCTAATTGTAAAGCTTTACTGTGAAAGTAAACCAACTTATGATAAAAAAAAGTTTCATTAACCGTTAATCACCTCAATGCTTTAAATCATATATATCATCCTTTTTCATGTGGCTATTAAAATCTTCATTCTATGAATTCCAGTACTGCTGTGAATTATCCTTGATTTTTTGCCTTTAATAGATACCAACATTATTTATTCGTTTATGTAGGACTGGATGCGTTCCAAGCTGAGAAGGTTATGGAAACTCTTCAACAGCTTGCCCAAGAGGGTCATACTGTTATATGTTCAATACACCAGCCTAGAAGTTCTGTATATAACAATTTTGATGACATAGTCTTGCTATCAGAGGGTTCAGTTGTTTACAATGGTCCTGCAAAAGATGAACCCTTAAAATACTTTGCAAAATTTGGGTAAATAGCCATATATTTTGATCAATCTTCTTCAAATATATGTTTAACATTTATAGTAGATTAATTCCGTTGTCAGCCTTCAGTAGCATTGATTGTATCTGCTTTATAAGAACCGTATAAAGTTATGCTATTCTTGTAGCTGTGATGCTACAAACTTCTGGAACATTATGGTGGACATTATAGTAGGGTAGATAGCAAATATATTCATTGAAATTTTGTGAACGTGGAGCATGCTGAATACTTGAGAAGATGCATTCTTTTTGTACTAATTGTTAGAATAAAAAAGATGTCTATAATTATGATAATCATAAATTTATAGAGTTTATATGTTCTAGGTTGTAGGAGAAGGTAATTAAATTAAAGTTAAGAAAAATTGCATTCGGATTAGAACATTGTTTCAATTTTATCTCAAGAAAGTCAATAATAGAAGCCTTTTTGTCTCAATATAAAAGTATGGTTTTTATAGCTGTTTTAATAAGCTGATTTGATTGACATTGAGATGAAGAAATGGTTGTTGATGATACTTTGAAATTGTTTTATCAGAGCTAGTAAGGAGTTGCCAAATAATTCCTAACCTTGGATTACATCAAGGATCATCCTTAAGCCCATATCTTTTTGCTTTAGTCATGGGTGTCCTTACGAGAGATTTGCAAGAGCATGTATGGTTTATGCTTTTTATTGATGATATTCTTCTTGTTGATAAGACTAGAGAGAGGGTTGAAGGTAAACTTAAATTATGGAGGTCAACTTTAGAGTCTAAAGATTTTTTTTTTTTTTTTTTTTACAGTAAATCTAAAATCAAATACATTGAGTGTAATTTTAGTGGTAATAGATTTAGTAGGGGGATTGTGACTTTGGGCGATGAAGTCATTAATAAAAGTACACATTTTAGATATCTTGGGTCTATTGTCCAGGGTGATGATGAAATAGATGAGGATATTATTAGTAGAATTCAAGTTGGATGATTGAAGTGGAAGAATGCATCAGACTTGTTGTGTTATAGAAAAGTACCCCTCAAACTTAAGGACAAATTCTATAAGTTTGTGTTGAGACTTGCAATGCTTTATGGTGTAGAATTTTGGCCATTAAAAGAGAAACATAATATTAAGTTAAGAGTTGCAGAAATGAGGATGTTTAGGTGAATGAGTGGCTTTACTCTTAGAGATAGGATACAAAATGAGTATATACATGAAAAGGTTGGTGTTGCTCCAGTGGCAGATAAAATTAGAGAGAGTTGCCTTAGATGGTTTGGTCATATAAAACGGTGGCCTTCTAATGACTCGGTTAAGAGAGTAGACATATTTGATTTGACTTATGTTAAGAAACGTAGAGGTAGACCTAAGAAGACTTGGTTAGAAAATATTATAAATGACATTTCGTTATTAGATTTAAATAAGAATTTGACTCTTAATAGTTAATAGGGCACATTGGAGAAAGAGGATTCCTGTAGCTTCCATATAGTGGGATAAAGGCTTGAAGTTGTTGTTGTAGAGTTGTATCAAGGATTAACATATGTTTGTATCTTCTTATATTAGTTAGTAGCATTCTTCCTCGTGTAATGCACATATGTTCAGATAAAATTTTTAATTTAAAAAAAAAAGAAAGGAAAAAAGAAAAGAAAAGGGAAAATAAGTAAAATTGAAGCATGTCAGCACGTCATTGAGTCGAACATGTGCGTTATGGACAACCACTTGTATAAAACAATAGAGAAACGACCAAATGGGGACTTACACTCAATTTTGATCGGAATCCCAGCAGCTCTTGGTCATGGCTCCTCTCTAAATTGTTCATGGCACGTTTAGACTCTCAAACTCAAGCCTTGCTCCCGATTGCGTTCCCGCTAATCCAACTGACTTGCACCGACCTCATCTGCTCGATCGTAGCCTGCACACTTCGACCTCCAAGCTAAAACCCGCACTCGACCTGCAATTTGGCACCCGTTTCCACTCAAATGACACTAAGTAATCCTGCCGCCCTCTATATCTGAATATCATAGAGCAATCCCAAATGGCAATAGGTCGTCCCTAATGACAACGGGCCTTCTGTCTCCCTTACGTCCGAACGACACCTGTGTGAGCTTTCTTCACCCATGTTCGAACCCACACCCGAGCTGACTTCTACGCTCAATTTTCGTGTTTCTTGCCCTCTTATTTAAAATAGTAAGTAAGAGAAAAGAAAAGAGGGTATTTATAAATCTTATATATAAGAAAGAGGTCGCAATCGTCAAATTGGAGGAGTTGAAGAACAATTTCGGGACAAATCAATGTCTTGAAGCCCTTGGCTATTGAATCTTATCTGACTGGACGAATTTGAAAGGACAAGTGCCCTCTCGACCTCCCCTCACGGGAGGGGACATAGGGAGGTCGCCGAAATGTCTTGAAAAATAAACAGTAACAAATTGGAAACCCTAGACTAATTCGAGGACCAAGTAATGTCTTGAAGCCCTCACTAATCGAATTATATCTGGCTGGGCGGTTTTAAAAGGGCAAGTGCCCTCTCTACCTCCCATTGCGGTGAGGGGACACTGGGAGGATGCCGAATTTTCTTAAAAAATCTTAGAAAATAATCAGAGTCAATTAATTAATTTAATTTCAAAATTAAAATTTAACTAATTAATAATTAATTAATAATTTAAAATAAACTTAAGATTTTAATTATTTAAATAACTAATTAACTAATTAATTAAATTAAAAATAAAATCAAAAAACAACATCAAGCCTTTATCCCACTACGTGGGGTCGGCTACATGAATCCTTTTTCTCCATTGTGTCCTATTAAAAGTCAAATTCTCGTTTAAATCTAATAAAGAAAGGTCATTCCTAATATTTTCTAACCAAGTCTTTTTAGGTCTGCCTCTACCTTTCTTAACATAAGTCAAATCTAATACCTCTACTCTCCTAACCAGGTCATTGGAAGGTCGTCGTTTTATGTGACCAAACCATCTAAGGTGATTCTCTCTAATCTTATCTTCTACTGGAGCTACTCCAACCTTTTCATGTATATGTTCATTTCTTATCCTATCTCTAAAGGTAAAGCCACTCATCCACCTAAGCATCCTCATCTCTGCCACACTTAACTTAGTATTATGCTTCTCTTTTAATGGCCAACATTCAGCACCATAAAGCATTTCAGGCCTCACTACCATCTTATAGAATTTTCCCTTAAGTTTGAGGGGTACTTTTCTATCACACAATAAGCCCGATGCATTCCTCCACTTCAACCATCCAACTTGAATTCTATTGATAATATCCCCATCAATTTCACCATCACTCTGAACAATAGATCCAAGATATTTAAAACGTGTACTCTTATTAATGACTTGATCGCCCAAAGTCACAAACCCCTCACTAGGTCTATTACTACTAAAATTACACTCCATATATTCCGTTTTAGATCTACTCAAGCGAAAACCTTTAGTCTCTAATGTTGACCTCCATAATTCAAGTTTACTTTCAACTCCCTCTCTAGTCTTATCAACAAGAAGAATATCATCAGCAAAAAGCATACACCAGGGTACATCCTCTTGCAAATGTCTAGTGAGAACATCCATGACTAAAGCAAAAAGATATGGGCTTAAGGCTGATCCTTGATGTCCCAACTGAAATAGGGAAATACTTGGTCAATCCACCTTGTGTTTGAACACAAGTAATAGCTCATGCATACATATCTTTAATGATTTGAATATAAGCATTATTAACACCTTTCTTTTCAAGAACTCTCCGTAGCACTTCTCTTGGAACTTTATCATAAGCAATGCTACCATTGTAGGTAAAATTAATACTAAAACAAAACAATACTGAACTAACACAACTATTGCAAGAAAAGCTAGTGTTATGAGTTAAACACTAATTTTAGTGGCAAAACTACATTGCTTAGTACTAAAAGCCAAGTTCTAACGTAAAGATGCCATTGTTGTAAACAAAACACCGGTGGTGGTATTGAGGCAGTGAAGAGTACAAAACTAAGTGTTTGCTGCTAAACCCCGCTAAGCTATAAGCTCAATAAGTAACTTCTAAGTGAAGTAGTAAAACCTATATAAACTAATTCATTATGAGCTTTTCCATGGAAGTGAAAGAACCCTAAATTAAAAACGATAGGCGACATCTAATAGAGGTCATAAGTCCTGTTTCAATTAGAGTGTTAGGGAAAACTTTCCATAGTAGATAACATATCCCCGATAAACTACAGACAACTTTCAATGAAAGCTGTAAGACCTACTCTTTGGAGAACTTCCACGAGAAGTATTGCACACTCAAACTAAACCTAAACATACAGGCCACTTCTAAATGCATAAGCTATTAGACCTACCTAAACCTATGAGTAACTCTTAAGAGGATCCGTAAGCCCAAATCTAAATCTAAACCTACTGGCAACTCCTAGGAGTAGCCATAAGCCTCGATCTAAACTTAAACCTACGGGCAACTCCTAAGAGGAGTCATAGGTCCCGACCTAAACTTAAACTTACAAGCAACTCTTAAGAGGAGCCATAAGCTCCGATCTAAACCTAAACCTACGAGCAACTCCTAAGAGGAGCCGTAAGTCCCGATTTAAACCTAACCCTACGGGGAACTCCTAAGAGGAGCAATAAGCCCCGATCTAAATCTAACCCTACGGGCAACTATTAAGAAGAGTCGTATGCCCTGATCTAAACCCCTACGAGCAACTCCTAAGAGGAGCCGAAAGCCCTGATCTAAACCTAAACCTATGGGAAACTCCTAAGAGGAGCTGTAATCCTCGACCTAAACATAAATTTTTGGGCAACTCCTAAGAAAAGATGTAAGCCCTAATCTATACCTAAACCTACAGGCAACTCCTAAGAGGAGCCATAAGCCTCGACCTAAACTTAAACCTACGGGCAACTCCCAAGCTGAGCCGTAAGCCCCAATCCAAATCAAACCACCATAACACTAAAACTCACATTTAACCACTTCAATTTACTTGGGATTCCTGAGGAGGCAATCCATAAGTGCTAATCAGACTCGTTAGATATTATCATCAAT